CCCCGCCACTCCTCAACTATTGACCAACTTTTGTCAGTGTACGACTTGTGTCTGTCAAACTCAAAGCGTGGTTAGAGTGCGCCTATCCATCATCCGTGAGTTTCAGATTTGCGGCGAACAATACTGGCGAAGCCCATCCATGCTGAAGGACCGAGAAATATCGGTCTGGAATCATCAACGGTACGCACCCTATGAGATTCGAACCTTGAACGTTCGGAGTAGTTCACTGATGAGTGATTGACCAGCAGTGTGAATGAATCACACTGAGGATATGGCGCCATTGCCGATAAGTTCAGATAGGTTGAGAAGAACGCGAGCTTGGAAAACCTGTGCAGGTTATTGCGATACATCCTACTAATGAGTTCCAATAAGTAATATGGTGTACACGGTTTACAGTTATTTTGACATTGGTTGAGTTAAGTTTAGGGTTGAAATCCAATATTCGAAATCGCATCAGCGGCCACAACATACGTGTTGCCTATTCCGGTTATCCGCGGCGATAGATCACTTGGTCCGGATGGCCTGCACCCCGCGCTGTTCAAAGAAGGTAGCGAGGCCTTGGTGAACGGTCTGACGACCATATTGCAGAAGATTCGGAACGAAAACAGAATACCGGCCGAATGGAGCTCCTCGACCGTCATCCCAGTTTTCAAAATGAGTACAAGGACGTCATTTGAAGACCCTCGTGGTTTTAGCCTGGCATCCGTCGCACCTATGGCATTATTTTGCGCCGGTTGTTCGATTATTGGGAGAGAGATTCGTGAGAATCAAGCTAGGTTTCGTCCTGATCGAGGATACGTCCACCGCATCTTTACCTTGAGACCGATTCTTGAACAGCGCCACTCCTTCAGACATCCCACGTTAGTCATTTCTTCGGATTTGAAAGCTGATTTTGGTTCTGTCGATCGTCAGCAGTCTGGCGATCAAACGTGTCCCTCATGAGAGCAATGTATGCGAACTCCTGTGGGCGTGTACGAGTGTACGGGAAGCTTTCGCCTAATTTCATTGCGGCCAGACAAGGCCGTCCTATCTCACCTTTCCTCTTTACTTCCTGTGTTGATATGCTACGTGAAGTTTCTCTGCCTGCCTCTGAAGCTTCAGGAGTCAAAATACTCTCCAGACGTCTGTTCACAGACACTGAGTATGCAGATGATATTGCTCTCCTTGGTTCAGATCCTTCCCGAATGCAGACGATTTTAAATAACCTCACTAACTCTCCCACACGGTTTGACTTCACACCCCTTAAGAAGCCGACAGACCCATTTATTATCGCTGTATTCATAATACGACGCTGGTGGATAAACTCCTTTCTGGGCGTACAGGCCAGTTGGGTGAAAAAAACCTAACGCTTGCTTACCACAAAAGTCATATCCTCTTCAATCGACACCTAGCAAACTCCAAAAAAGTCGAGGCACCGTAATTATCGGGTACTTCATTATAATGAAATGGCTAGGCATAATCAGACCAACAGCTGGTCAGAATAAACTATAGACTAAAAATTCGGGTCACTAGCAGACGATGAGGTACCGATGTACCCCCCCAAACGGACGGAATACGACTGTTGATAGTCTAATGATCACGTGACAACTCCCTGCACAATCAATCGATAAGCTTTAATGAAAGCGTCGTTTAGTTGACCGTAGTGATTAGCTTTCAATTCGCATTTAGCCATCATCACATACGTGCCCAAAGATATGGCGAGCACAAATTCGCTGACCGGAAAGTCCGTGGTTCGAATCCGACCTCTGCATCTCGACTTCTCCTGTCTAGGCTTAGGCAACTCGACAGTATCCCGGTTCTCAAGGGCATAGAAGCTAGGCACCGAAAGGGTGTAACAGCTGAAATGAAAAAAAAACACTTACCACAAGCAGGCTGTTACTTCGCGAGGCGGCCACACTGGAAGAAGTTGGACTCGACTCGACGGAATTGGTGTGGCGATTTGGGGTTGGCTGCGATGCGGGACCAGATTGATCCAGATCACGATTTGGGCACGGTGGATAAGTTATTGTGGTCGTGGGCGAACCGAGAAGCGGTCGACTCGAATCACTACCCAAACTGGCTGGTGTCACCGGGCTTACAAGCACAGACTGGCAGAAAGTAGTTGGTGTCGAGATGGGGGGTTGGAATTGGATGGATAAGGGTTGTTTACTGGTCGAGTCACATGATGACGCTGAGCCAACGGAACTGGGAGGTAAATAAGATGTGAAGGGAGAGGAATAGTGAGGGAGAACACCGGTATTGTTAGCGGTAACCACACTGTGGTTGGCGGTTGTGAGAGCGCTTGAGCCAGTTTCAGTCGGTTTGACCGATGGCGCTGTGGCGACAGAGATGCTTGACGGTCCAGGTTTCGCGTCGTAGAATGAAGCAGGCAACAAGTCGAGATCAGCCTCCTCCGAGAGAAGCCATTCTAGCATACAACACGTGGAATTCCCAGAAGCACGCCGAGCAGCCTGGAGATCCGTGACACACATGTTGGGTGGCGCTTGCGGTCCTCCTGACGGAGGCAACTGAGAATAAGCCTGACGTGACTCCGAGGACAGGTTGGATGTCGATTTAAAGTCAACCACGGGGGGTGAAGTCACGTTTGCCACGGTCGTTGTGCAGGTGGAGGTTACCAAAGGTATCTGCAGAGGTAAAGAATCCCAGTCAACTTGTAATACAGAGCTATAAAGTTTTAGAATAAATATCCGGAAATGAGGATTAGTACGGAATCGAATACCACGGGTTAGATGCATCCAGAGAGCTAAGTATTCGGCTCTGACAACAGATTTGTCAGGTAAAGCATAGAATATCTTGATGGTCATGAACCCCATACTAATATCTGTCATTTATACTATGGTAAATACAAAATCCAAAGAGCCCAGACATGTTTCTGTGCTTTCTGCAATTTAGAATACATACGTAAGGGTCCGGTGTGTCAGAGGACACGAAGTGAAACCTTCAAAACGATAACGACAAAATGTGGGAATCTCCGAAGGTTTGGTGGTCATCCATGAACAGCGACGTCATTAGATGACCTTCCAGACCTGTTTCTAAAGTCACGAACAGAGTAAAATGAGGAAGTTGACGACTGGCATTCTTAACACAATCAGTAAAATTAGTGCTGGATCACAACAGTGCTGAGACGACAGGCGTATTGCGCCAGCCCAAAAACCTAGTGACGGATTTGTTCATTAGTCAAACGCTGTTTTCACTCCTGTGAGCGATACTCCGCGAACAGCGGTAGTCGAAGACAGAGGCCAGGTTTCATTCCAACCGGGGAGAATGGTAATGTGCCGGGCGAGTTTATTGGTTGTTGATCTGTTCACCGAGCACGGTGACGAAACACGTCTGCAAGTCGATTGCCAGACTCGGCGAACAGATCGACAGCCATCTGATCAACAACTGACGTGGGAGAATAACTTATACGGGCTTTTGGGTACATGTCGGTTGAGAACTCGGTTGTCTCGGAGGCGGAAGTCGATGACTGCCTCTTGAGCCTTCCTAATGTGATGGCTCCATACCGCTGTGGTGCAGCAGTTACACAGAGCAGGCATCTGGTTCGGTTAGTGTCATATCATCGATTGCTGGCAGTGTGAAGAGACTTTGGACTTTTAATGGAGATTTCATCCTGTAAGCGCTGCCAAACTGTGCTTCTTGCCTAAGAGTGAGCTGGTCACGCCGGTGAGTAGCTGCTTGTGGTCGAACAATCACGTGTTCAAATTACAAAACAGAAGGTTAGGGGTTCAAGACTCCCCGGTGCGCAATAAAGAAACAATCGAACACTGATTACCGGTTATTCAGCATAGATCAGCTTCACTTACAAAACTAAATCTCCGTGAACACCGGTTCAGTCAAAGCGAGATGGCTCAATGGTTAGAGCGCGAATTTACTGACCGGAAGGTTCGTGGTTCGAACCTCCACATCCGACTTCTTCTGTCTAGGCTTGGGCAACCTGGCAGTATCTCAGCCCTCGTGCTTCCTCCGGGTGGCATGGCAGTTAGACACCCATAGGGTACTACAGCTGAATGATATTCGACTGAAATAACTTATTCAATGGGCCCGAGCACGGACGTCATGATATTTCGGCCGAATATCACAAAAAAACGTGATAATCATGGAAACACCACCGCAAGAGAGTTCGAATCCTGGAAACCGTGTTCAGTTGCCCCCCCCCCCCTGGAAACCATGTTCAGCTGCCCCCCGACGTTTATTTTAAGAAATATGAAGACTCAAAGAAGAGGCCACCAATAAGAGTTCCTCAAGGTAATGGATCCACAGCGAGAAACAACTAAATCGTAGTTTTAATTAGGGCTTTCGACGACCGCAGAAACTCAGGTCTCACTGATGTGCCTGCAAAAGGCATAATACGGCGGAGCTGCGATTCAAACCTCCGTGAGCAAGACATCTTGCATCTTGAAATTGACCTTTTTCAGTTATGAGTTTCATCAATACAATGTCATAACTGCTCGCGAAGAATATCAGTAGTTTATTCTTCACAACTAAATAACCAATTGTGCACATATTAGCATAGGTCATCGATTATGGACGCTTCCACTGTATGATATTCATGGAGTCAGTTTCCTATCCGTGAGGGCCAAGTACAACATAGTAATAACAATAACAATAACATTACAGCTCAACTGGTTTATGATCGTCCAGCTGTAGTACCCTTTCGGTGCCTAGATGTCATGCCACACGAAGGAGGCACGAGGGCTGGGATACTGCTGAGTGGCGGAGGTTGGGTTCGAACCGCGGATCTTTCGGTCAGTAAATTCGCGCTCTGCCCCCATGTTTGTAAATCAAAACGCACCGCTGGCTACGTAGGAATCCCGCTGAAGGACGGTCACTCGAGGATCCAGCGGGCAGATCATGAAACATGAAATGCAAGATGCGCCGCGATGACGGTGCGATGTTGGGATGTGGAATCAAAAGCCACAGCTAAAAGAACTGCTGATTTTAGTGCCATTTTAGGTTTGACTTGCCGATTATTAGGCGGCCCAACAAAGAAAGAGCGGCAGTGGTCTTGACCACACACACACACACAGAGATACGAATTATCATGACCAATTTGATTTGCCTTCAGGCTGTTAACCAACATTGCCCAATTCCCATCACGGTGCTTTCTGCTAACCGACAAACGACCTGCGTGTTCATTGCTGATTCACCCTAGCACAAACAACGCGAGCACATTCGATCGCAAGAGAGTTCGAATCCTGGAAACCGTGTTCAGTTGCCCCCCCCCCCACGACGTTTATTTTAAGGAATATGGAACCTCGAAAAAGCGGCCACTAATAAGAGTTCCTCGAGGTAATGGATCCACAGCGAGAAACAACTACATCATAGTTTTAATTAGGGCTTTCGACGACCGCAGAAACTCAGGTCTCACTGATGTGCCTGCAAAAGGCATAATACGGCGGAGCTGCGATTCAAACCTCCGTGAGCAAGACATCTTGCATCTTGAAATTGACCTTTTTCAGTTATGAGTTTCATCAATACAATGTCATAACTGCTCGCGAAGAATATCAGTAGTTTATTCTTCACAACTAAATAACCAATTGTGCACATATTAGCATAGGTCATCGATTATGGACGCTTCCACTGTATGATATTCATGGAGTCAGTTTCCTATCCGTGAGGGCCAAGTACAACATAGTAATAACAATAACAATAACATTACAGCTCAACTGGTTTATGATCGTCCAGCTGTAGTACCCTTTCGGTGCCTAGATGTCATGCCACACGAAGGAGGCACGAGGGCTGGGATACTGCAGAGGTCGGGTTCGAACCACAGACTTTCCGGTCAGTAAATTCTCGCTCTACCCACATGTTTGTAAATCAAAACGCACCGCTGGCTACGTAGGAATCCCGCTGAAGGACGGTCACTAGAGGGTCCAGAGCGCAGATCATGAAACATGAAATGCAAGATGCGCCGCGATGACAGCGCGATGTTGGGATGTGGAATCGAAAGCCACGGCTAAAAGAACTACTGATTTCAGTGCCATTTTAGGTTTGACTTGCCGATTATTAGGCGGCCCAACAAAGAAAGAGCGGCAGTGGTCTTGCACACACACACACACACAGAGATACGAATTATCATGACCAATTTGATTTGCCTTCAGGCTGTTAACCAACATTGCCCAATTCCCATCACGGTGCTTTCTGCTAGCCGACAAACGACCTGCGTGTTCAGTGCTGATTCACCCTAGCACAAACAACGCGAGCACATTCGATAGAGGAAGTTGACATTGGTCACCACAAACAACAACACCGAAAAGCAGACATATCACGACCAGGAGTCCCAAGGAGAGGTAAATTTGATACTTGTTTGGCTTGCGCACTAGAGAGGCTTAGTTTTAGGACAGTTGCGCGTTCTCAGCTGTTTGTGTGTGGTAGTGGGCATGAACAAGTCAAGTCTTTACAAGACAACAAACGAATGGAACCGCAGAACACCTGAAAACCGGAGGTTGGACGTTGAACAGGTTTGCATAGGGAATCTCGGGGAAAAAGTGCATCTTGTGCGGCCCTGATACCACTACTAAATTACGGTGGGTTTCTTCTGTAGAAGGATAAGCCGGCTCCAAAAATGTGCCATGTAGATAAAAAGCAACGCTACATAAATCCATAGCAGGTGAAGATGATGTCGATCGGTTGGTTGGTAGCCGTCGACATGTAAAAAGATAGATACAAGTATCGATTTGTTGCCAGTCTCCAGACACTGGAAAATGCTAGAAAGATGAAGTTGTCAGCAAAAAAGGAAACCCCAAAAAGAGCGTCAGCAATTAGGAAGTAATGGCCTTGGTTTCCTGAGTCTTTGAGTCCTGGGATTCGTCTAAACCGACGGAAGACTGAACGACGATGGTTTACAGTCCCTGAGACGTGGGTGTCACTGGGTGGGCAGTGGACGTAGCGTTGCTGCCACCAGTTACTGGCACCGTGGGCAAGTGACCGCCACTGGTGTTGTCGTTGCTGAGTGAGGTAGTCTCAGTTGGAGTTGTGGATAATCGAGGCGCTGTGACAGTAGAGCCGCTACTTGCGACGTTTTCTACGGGAGAGAGGGCGAAAAACGGGGATGTGACAATAATCCCAAATTTGTTGGCTTGTGCTTTAGTTCTTTA